TTCAGCTGTTTTATACTTCGATTTCTCAATTTTTCGATGTTTTAATTTTTCAATTTTTAAAATTCTAGATTTTTTATTTCTCGAATTTTCAGTTCTTCTATATTTCAATTTTTCAATTTTCGTGGAGCTTCGATTTACCGATTTGTCGATTCTTAGTGTTTCGAATTTTTATTTTTTGATTTTTTGATGTTTGGATGTCTCGTTTTTTCGATTTAATATATTTTAATTGTTCCAATCTTTTAAATTTTAGATTTTTCGATTTTTCAGTTCTTCAGGATTTATATTTTTCAATTTTTCAAATTTTGACGTTGCTAAATTTTCAATTTTCCGATTTCTCAATTAATTTATTTTTGATTTTCTCATTTCTTGAGTTTTCGAAGTTTCGATTTTTCAGTTCTTCAATTCTTCGATTTTTCGACTTTACTTTTTTGGTTTTTTGATTTCTCAATTTTCCAATTTTTTAATTTCTCAATTTTTGGATATTTCTTACAGTTTTGGGATTTTCCAGTATTTTGATTCTTCGACTTTTCGATTTTCGATTTTTAATTTTTCGGATTTTCAGATTTTCGTTTTTTAAACTTTAAATTTTTCAATTCTTCGAGTGTTCTATATTTAAATTTGTCAATTTTTCAACTTTTCGATATTTTAATTATTCAATTTCAAGATTCTAGATTTTTCATTTTCTCAAGTTTTCAGTTCTATATTTTAATTTGTCAATTTTCCAAATTTTTAAATTTTCCATTTTCCAATTTTTCTTTTTTAAAATTTTGTGATTTTTCGATTTTTTGATTTCTCGATTTATCAATCTATCACTTTTCTTCTCGGTTTTCGACTCCTCTATTTCTCGATCCTCGTTTTTTCGATGTCTCAGTTTTTAATTTTTCGGTGTTTCGATTTTTGAATTTCTCAGTTTTTCGATTTTTTACTTTTGGGCTTTTCAATTTTACGATTTTGCAATTTTTCGATGTTTCGATTTATCAGTTATCCGATTTTTCAATTTTTCAATTTTTCAAATTCTGGAGTTTCGATTTCTCGATTTGTCGATTTTTAGTTTTATCGATTTTTTAAATTTTAGATTTTCGAATTTTAATTTTTTGATTTTTTGATGTTTGGATTTCTCAATTTTTCAATTTTGCGATATTTTAATTGTTCAATCTGTTAAATTTTAGATTTTTCGATTTTTCAGTTCTTCAGTATTTCTATTTTCCAGTTTTTCAAATTTTGACGTTGCTAAATTTTCAATTTTCCGATTTCTCAATTAATTTGTTTTTGATTTTCCCATTTCTTGTGTTCTCGAAGTTTCGATTTTTCAGTTCTTCAATTCTTCGATTTTTCGACTTTACTTTTTTGGTTTTTCGATTTCTCAATTTTCCAATTTTTTAATTTCTCAATTTTTGGATATTTCTTACAGTTTTGGGATTTTCCAGTATTTTGATTCTTCGACTTTTCGATTTTCGATTTTTAATTTTTCGGATTTTCAGATTTTCGTTTTTTAAACTTTAAATTTTTCAATTCTTCGAGTATTCTATATTTAAATTTGTCAATTTTTCAACTTTTCGATATTTTAATTATTCAATTTCAAGATTCTAGATTTTTCATTTTCTCAAGTTTTCAGTTCTATATTTTAATTTGTCAATTTTCCAACTTTTTAAATTTTCCATTTTTCCAATTTTTCTTTTTTAAAATTTTGTGATTTTTCAATTTTTTGATTTCTCGATTTATCAATCTATCACTTTTCTTCTCGGTTTTCGACTCCTCTATTTCTCGATCCTCGATTTTTCGATGTCTCAGTTTTTGAATTTTTCGGTGTTTCGATTTTTGAATTTCTCAGTTTTTCGATTTTTTACTTTTGGGCTTTTCAATTTTACGAATTTGTAATTTTTCGATGTTTCGATTTATCAGTTATCCGATTTTTCAATTTTTCATTTTTTCAAATTCTGGAGTTTCGATTTCTCGATTTGTCGATTTTTAGTTTTATCGATTTTTTAAATTTTAGATTTTCGAATTTTAATTTTTTGATTTTTTGATGTTTGGATTTCTCGATTTTTCAATTTTGCGATATTTTAATTGTTCAATCTGTTAAATTTTAGATTTTTCGATTTTTCAGTTCTTCAGTATTTCTATTTTCCAGTTTTTCAAATTTTGACGATGCTAAATTTTCAATTTTTCGATTTCTCAATTAATGTGTTTTTGATTTCCCCATTTCTTGTGTTCTCGAAGTTACGATTTTTCAGTTCTTCAATTCTTCGATTTTTTGACTTCACTCTTTTGATTTTACGATTTCTCAATTTTCCAATTTTTTAATCTCTCAATTTTTGGATATTTCTTATAGTTTTTGGATTTACAGATTTTTGTTTTTTAACCTTGGATTTTTCAATTCTTCGAATGTTCTATATTTAAATTTGTCAATTTTTCAACGTTTCGATATTTTAATTTTTCAATTTTCCGAATTTTTAAATTTTCGATTTTTCATCATTTTTTTTGAGATCCTAAATTATGGAGATTAGGATGTTTGGATTTTTGGATTTTGGCTTATTTCGGTTTCTCAATTTTTCGATTTTTAGACTTCACGACTTTTCGACTCGTCGATTTCTCGATGTTTCGATTTTTCAATTTTCCATTTTTTTAATTTTCGAATTTCAGATTTTCGAATTTTTATTTTTTTGATTTTTTTATAATACTATTTAAAAAATTGAAAAATTGAAAAATCGGATAAGTGATAAATCGAAACATCCAAAACTTGGAAACTCGAAAAATTGAAAAGCCCAAAAGTAAAAAATCGAAAAACTGAGAAATTCAAAAATCGAAACACCGAAAAATTTAAAAACTGAGAGATCGAAAAATCTAAGGGTCGAGAAATCGAGGAGTCGAAAGCCGAGAAGAAACGTTAAAAATTGAAAGATTGATAAATCGAGAAATTGAATAATCAAAACATCGAAACATCTGAATTCGATAAATCGAGAAATTAAAAAATTCTAAAAAAGTTTTTCGATTTTTTACTTTTGGGGTTTTCAGTTCTTCGATTTTCCAATTTTTTGATGTTTCGATTTATCAGTTATCCGATTTTCAATTTTTCGATTTTTTAAATTCTGGAGTTTCGATTTCTGGATTTTTCGTTTTTGATTTTCTGATGTTAGGATTTCTCGATTTTTCAATTTTGCGATATTTTATTTGTTCAATTTTTTAAATTTTAGATATTTCGATTTTTCAGTTCTTCAGTATTTTTATTTTTCAATTTTTCAAATTTTGCGTTGCTAAATTTTCATTTTTCCCATTTTTCGACTTTATTTTTTTAGTTTTTCGATTTCTCAATTTTACAATTTTTAATTTCTCAATTTTTGGATATTTCTTACAGTTTTGGGATTTTCCAGTATTTTAATTCTTCTACTTTTCGATTTTCGATTTTTAATGTTTCGGATTTTCAGATTTTCGTTTTTTAAACTTTGAATTTTTCAATTCTTCAAGTGTTCTTTTCGATATTTTAATTATTCAATTTTTAAAATGCTAGATTTTTCATTTTCTCGAGTTTTCAGTTCTTTTATATTTTAATTTTTCAATTTTCCGAATTTTTAAATTTTCGATTTTTAAATTTTTTTTGATCGTGATTTATGGATATTCGAATATTTTGATTTTTGGATTTTTTGACTTCTCGACTTTTCGACTCGTCGATTTCCTGATGTTTCGATTTTTCAATTTTCCATTTTTTTGATTTTCGAATTTCGATTTCTCGATTTGTTGGTTTTTCAGATTTTCGATTTTTGAATTTTATATTCTCGAATTTTTATTTTTTTGATTGATGTTTCGATTTCTGCGTTTTTCAGTTTTACGATATTTTAATTTTTCAATCTTCTAAATATTAGATTTTCCGATTTTTCAGTTCTTCAATATTAATTTTTCAAAATTTGAGGTTTCTAAATTTTCAGATTTCCGATTTCTCAATTAATCTATTTTTTGATTTTCCCATTTTTCGACTTACCAAAGTTTCGATTTTTCAGTTCAATTTTTCGATTTATCACGTTTTTGATTTTTTAATTTTTCGGTTTTTCGCCCTTGCTTTTTTGATTATTGGATTTCCCAATTTTTCAATTTTTTAATTTCTCAATTTTTGGATATTTCTTTCAGTTTTGGGATTTTCCAGTATTTTGATCCTTCGACTTTTACATTTTCAAATTTTAATTTTTCGGATTTTCAGATTTTCGGTTTTTAAACTTTGAATTTTTCAGTTCTTCGAGTGTTCTATGTTTAAATTTCTTAATTTTTCAACTTTTCCATATTTTCATTATTCAATTTTTAAAATTATAGATTTTTCATTTTCTCGATTTTTCAGTTCTTTTATATTTTAATTTTCAATTTTCAGAATTTTTAAATTTTCGATATTACAATTTTTTGAGAACGTGATTTATGGAAATTAGGATGTTTCGATTTTTCGATTTTTGCCTATTTCGGTTTCTCAATTTTTCCATTTTTGTTAATTTTCGAATTTCGATTTCTCGATTTGTTGGTTTTTCAGATTTTCGATTTTTGAATTTTATATTCTCGAATTTTGATTTTTTGATTGATGTTTCGATTTCTGCGATTTTCAATTTTACAATATTTTTAATTTTCATTCATCTAAATTTTAGATTTTCCGATTTTTCAGTTCTTCAATATTTTTCAAAATTTGAGGTTTCTAAATTTTCAGTTTTCCGATTTCTCAATTAATCTAATTTTTGACTTAGCAAAGTTTCGATTTTTCAGTTCTTCAATTTTTCGATTTATCACGGTTTTGATATTTCAATTTGTCAGTTTTTCACCCTTGCTTTTTTGACTTTTCAATTTTTCAATTTTTTAAATTCCCATTTTTCCCAATTTGAACACATAGTTTCAACAGGCTTTCCTTCAACAAAAGAAAATGCTATCTGGTTCCATGTGGTAGAAAGGATCAAAATTTTAATTATAATTACATTTCACATTGATAGCAGCCAGATTTGGAAGTACAATATAATATAAACAAATTTATTTATTATTTATTATTTATTTAAAATCGAAACGCTTTTGGCAACACGTGACTATTTCCATAATGTCTGTGTCTTCGATACAGTGGTTGTTGCAACAGAGGGTGGTCTAATTTTTGAATAATCCTGCACTGTCTTCTTCAACGACGCAACGTCCTAGCCCAGAACAACGCATTATTTTAGGTTTTTCTAAAACGTAATACCGCACCTGGTAACGGAAGTGATAAAATTCGTCCCGCTCGAGTTTGTGCACTTCAGTGTCTGTAACGAAAAATTTTTCCAAACACGTTCCCAAAATTTTTGTTTATTTTGTTACCATTTTCGTCTAGACACCGAATGCGAACCCTGGCATCGCCGTGGGCTATAGTGAGTAAATCCTTGTGGCAGCTTGTCGTGGAAGAAGGACATTCTTCGTTGAAACACGACTCTGAATCACCAAAAAATTTCACTTTATTAATAATTATTATACTAAATAAATTAATTTGATATTACTTACTCTTATATGTAATAATTTCTGAAGACGCTTGAATTGTCGCTACCAGTAATACAAGAAAAATTAATGTGGAAAGCATTGTTGGTAAGAGTTTTAGTATCTTGTTGGATGATATTGATACGTCTAAACAATGTGTTATATACTTGTTAGAATACCTTGAGTCACTTTTAAAAATAACTGGTGTTTGGTTCGTCGTCATTTTGATAGCCTGAGTGACCTGCAGTGTTCCAAATAATCTCTTTTATTTGCAGTTTAAATATTTCTGCTAAATTTCTTTCTTCTGAAATCCTGTAACCCTATTTCTGTATTCTCTAAGAAAAGATGTGCGTCTGTTGTTCTTCATCACTCTATTTTTTAAGAACTCTCAGCGTCAACATTTTATTTCGTTTGAATTGACTGACAAGTGAGTCTAAAAATATTTGTGATTACTAATGTCTATAGTCTATAGGACCTAAACAATGACAAACTGGTTAATGATTTTAAAGTAAATGAGCTTCACACAGAGAGGTTTATCGCAAAGACTGTTATTATTATGTAAAAAAAGAACAATTAGAATGCGAGCGCCGCGAGCACGTTTAGGAGTTGTTGAAAATTATTCATTAGTGTGCCTGAGAAGCTAAATTATTAATAAAATAATTTTTAAAAATCCAAAAAAAAGATGAATTTGAAAAATCTTTGTGATCGTAGCAACTTGGAAATGCTCGCTGTGCTCGCAATTTGGAAATTTAAGAGTAAATAGCTTCACTGAAATTCCTTCCTAACCACACTTATGTGAGACTAAATTAAAAAAAAAATCTAGAATGCAGCGACCATGTTCAGTTAATACAGAAAAGGAGAAGTTTGATTATATTATTAATCAAAATTTTACTATCATTTAAAAAAGTGGGTGCATTTAAACCAAAGTAACTGGAGTTATAAAAACCTATATATGCTCGCTGCGCTCGCCTTCTAGTTGTTAAGGGCTTTAGAGTGATTTAGCTTCACACAGGGAGACTGATTCGTACACCTTTAGGGATTATTCAAAAGTACCCATAAATCTCCTTAAGAAGGTAAATTATTAACAAAATATTTTTTTATTTAAAAAAATGGGTGTCGACAACGTCGGCTTAAACCAAAGTTTCGATTTGACGGTTTTTCGGTTTTTGGGCCTTTCGCTTGGAATTTCCAAGTTTTCGATATTTCGATTCTTTAATTTTTCGATTTCCCAATTTTTCGTCATTGCAGTTTGGAATTTTTCAGTTTTTCGATGCTTCAATCACTCCATTCATGAAATTTTCGATTTCCCGACTTTCAAATTTTACGATTTTTCAATTTTTCAAATTTGTACGTATCTAAATTTTTAATTTTTCTATTTCCCAATCGAGTTTTGAGTTTTTGCGGTTCACGACTTCTCGACTTTTAACTGTTTTTCTTAACTTTTCGAATTTTAAATTTTTGGACCAACAGATTTTTTACTTTTTGGATTTTCAATTTTTCCATGTTTTAATTTTTCTATTTTTAAAATTCTAAATTTTTTGATTTGTCGAGTTTTCAGTTCTATATTTCAATTTTTCAATTTTCCAAATTAATAAATTTTCGATTTTTCCAATTTTTTGATTTCTCGATTTATCGAATCCAGATGTTTCGATGTTTTGATTGTTTAATTTCTCAATTTATCAATCTTTCAATTTTTAACTTTTCTTCTCGGTTTTCGACTCCCCGATTTCTCGATTCTCTGATTTTTAGATGTCTCAGTTTTTGAATTTTATCGTGTTTCGATTTTTGAATTTCTCAATTTTTCGATTTTTTATTTTTGGGCTTTTCAATTATTCAATTTTTCAAATTCTGGGGTTTCGATTTTTCAATTTGTCGATCTTTACTTTTTCGATTTTTAAATTTATGATTTTTAAATATTTCGATTTTTAAATTTTTAAAATGTTAACTTTTCGAAAATTCCAGTCTTTCGATTTTTAAACTAATCATTTTTTTTATTTTCCCATTTCTCGACTTCCCAAAGCTTTGACTTTTTCAATTCTTCAGTTTTTCGATTACTCAAGCTTACGATTTTTCGATTTTGCTGTTTTAGTTTTTCGATTTCTCACTTTTCCAATTTTTTAATTTCTCAATTTTCTTTGACTTTTAGAATTTTTCAATATTTTGATTTTTCGACTTTTCGATTTTTGGACTCCCGGATTTTTTACTTTTTGGATTTTCAATTTTTCGTCAGATTTTTCTATTTTTCAACTGTTCTATACTTCGATTTCTCAACTTTTCGATGTTTTAATTCTTCAATTTTTAAAATGCTAGATTTTTTGATTTCTCGAGTTTTCAGTTTTTCTATATTTCAATTTTTCAATTTTTCCAAATTTTTAAATTCTCGATTTTTCCAATTTTTTGATTTCTCGATTCATCCAATCCAGATGTTTCGATGTTTTGATTGTTTAATTTCTCGATTTATCAATCTTTCAATTTTTAACTTTTCTTCTCGGCTTTCGACTCCTCGATCTCTCGATTCTCTGATTTTTAGATGTCTCAGTTTTTGAATTTTACGGTGTTTCGATTTTTGAATTTCTCAGTTTTGCGATTTTTTATTTTTGGGCTTTTTGATTTTTCAATTTTTCAAATTTTGGAATTTCGATTTCTCGATTTGTCGATTTTTGTTATTCGATTTTTAAATTGTAGATTTTCGAATTTTTATTTTTTGATTTTTCGCTGTTTGGATTTCTCGATATTCCAATTTTGCGATATTTTAATTGTTCAATCTTTTAAATTTTAGATTTTTCGATTTTTCAGTTCTTCAGTATTTCTATTTTTCAATTTTTCAAATTTTGACGTAGCTAAATTCTTCCATTTTTCGTCTTTACTTTTTTGGTTTTTCGATATCTGAGTCTTTGAATTTTTCGGTGTTTCGATTTTTGAATTTCTCAGTTTTTCGATTTTTTACTTTTGGGCTTTTCAATTTTTCGAGTTTCCAAGTTTTCGATGTTTCGATTTATCAGTTATCCGATTTTTCAATTTTTCAATTTTTCAAATTCTAGATTTTTCGATTTTTCAGTTCTTCAGTATTTCTATTTTTCAAATTTTGACGTTGCTAAATTTTTAATTTTCCGATTTCTCAATTAATTTATTTTTTATTTTATCATTTTTGGAATTCTCGAAGTTTCGATTTTTCAGTTCTTCAATTTTTCGACTTTACTTTTTTGGTTTTTCGATTTCTCAATTTTTGGATATTTCTTTCAGTTTTGGGATTTTCCAATATTTTGATTCTTCGACTTTCCGATTTTCGATATTTAATTTTTCGGATTTTCAGATTTTTGTTATTTAAACTTTGGATTTTTCAATTCTTCGAGTGTTCTATATTTAAATTTCAAATTTTTCAACTTTTCGATATTTTCATTATTCAATTTTTAAAATTCTAGATGTTTCATTTTCTCGAGTTTTCAGTTCTTCTATATTTTAATTTTTCAATTTTCCGAATTTTTAAATTTTCGATTTTTCTAATTTTTCTGTTTTAAAATTTTTCGATTTCTCGATTTATCAATCTTTCACTTTTCTTCACGGCTTTCGACTCGTCTATTTCTAGATCCTACGATTTTTCGATTTTTCGATGTCTCAGTTTTTAATTTTTCGGTGTTCCGATTTTTGAATCTCTCAGTTTTTCGATTTTTTAATTTTGGACTTTTTAATTTTTCGAGTTTCCAATTTTTCGATGTTTCGATTTATCAGTTATCAGATTTTTCAATTTTTCAATTTTTTAAATTCTGGAGTTTCAATTTCTCGATTTGTCGATTTTTAGGTTTTCGATTTTTTAAATTTTAGAATTTCGAATTTTAATTTTTTGATTTTTTGATGTTTGGATTTCTCGATTTTTCAATTTTGCGATATTTTAATTGTACAATCTGTTAAATTTTAGATTTTTCGATTTTTCAGTTCTTCAGTATTTCTATTTTTCAATTTTTCAAATTTTGACGATGCTAAATTTTCAATTTTTCGATTTCTCAATTAATTTGTTTTTGATTTTCCGATTTCTTGTGTTCTCGAAGTTACGATTTTTCAGTTCTTCAATTCTTCGATTTTTCGATTTTACTCTTTTGGTTTTACGATTTCTCAATTTTCCAATTTTTTAATCTCTCAATTTTTGGATATTTCTTATAATTTTTGGATTTACAGATTTTCGTTTTTTAACTTTGGATTTTTCAATTCTTCGAATGTTCTATATTTAAATTTGTCAATTTTTCAACTTCTCGATATTTTAATTTTTCAATTTTCCGAATTTTTAAATTTTCGATTTTTCATCATTTTTTTTGAGATCCTAAATTATGGAGATTAGGATGTTTGGATTTTTGGATTTTGGCTTATTTCGATTTTTCAATTTTCCATTTTTTTAATTTTCGAATTTCGGATTTTCGAATTTTTATTTTTTTGATTTTTTTATAATATTTTAAAAAATGAAAAATTGAAAAATCGGATAACTGATAAATCGAAACATCGAAAACTTGGAAACTAGAAAAATTGAAAAGCCCAAAAGTAAAAAATCGAAAAACTGAGAAATTCAAAAATCGAAACACCGAAAAATTTAAAAACTGAGAGATCAAAAAATCGAAGGATAGAAAAATCGAGGAGTCGAAAGCCGAGAAGAAACGTTAAAAATTGAAAGATTGATAAATCGAGAAATTAAAAAATTCTAAAAAGTTTTTCGATTTTTTACTTTTGGGGTTTTCAGTTCTTCGAGTTTCCAATTTTTTGATGTTTTGATTTATCAGTTATCCCATTTTTCAATTTTTTGATTTTTTAAAGTCTGGAGTTTCGATTTCTCGATTTTTCGTTTTTGATTTTTGATGTTAGGATTTCTCGATTTTTCAATTTTGCGATATTTTAATTGTTCAATCTTTTAAATTTTAGATATTTCGATTTTTCGATTTTTCAGTTTTTCAGTATTTCTATTTTTCAATTTTTCAAATTTAGACGTTGCTAAATTTTCAATTTTCCGATTTTTCGACTTTATTTTCTTGGTTTTTCGATTTCTCAATTTTCCAATTTTTTAATTTCCCAATTTTTGGATATTTCGTTCAGTTTTGGGATTTTCCAGTTTTGATCCTTCGACTTTTCGATATTCAATTTTTAATTTTTCGGATTTTCAGATTTGTCAATTTTTCAACTTTTCGATATTTTAATTATTCAAGTTTTAAAATTCTAGATTTTCATTTTCTCCAGTTTTCAATTCTTCTATATTTTAATTTTTCAATTTTCGATTTTTCAATTTTTTGAGATCGTGATTTATGGAGATTCGAATATTTCGATTTTTCGATTTTTTGACTTCTCAACTTTTCGACTCGTCAATTTCTCGATGTTTCGATTTTTCAATGTTCCATTTTTTTTAATTTCCGAATTTCGATTTCTCGATTTGTTGGTTTTTCAGTTATTCGATTTTTCAATTTTATATTATCGAATTTTTATTTTTTTGATTGATGTTTCGATTTCTGCGTTTTTCAATTTTACAATATTTTAAATTTTCAATCTTCTAAATTTTAGATTTTCCGATTTTTCAGTTCTTCAATATTTTTCAAAATTTGAGGTTTCTAAATTTTCAGTTTTCCGATTTCTCAATTAATCTATTTTTTGATGTTCCCATTTTTGACTTAGCAAAGTTTCGATTTTTCAGTTCTTCAATTTTTCGGTTTTTCACCCTTGCTTTTTTGACTTTTCAATTTTTCAATTTTTTAAATTCCCAATTTTCTCAATTTGAACACATAGTTTCAACAGGCTTTCCTTCAACAAAAGAAAATGCTGTCTGGTTCCATGTGGTAGAAAGGAACAAAATTTTAATTATAATTACATTTCACATTGATAGAACCCAGATTTGGATGTACAATATAATATAAACAAATTTATTTGTTATTTATTATTTATTTAAAATCGTAACGCTTTTGGCAACACGTGACTATTTCCATAATGTCTGTGTCTTCGATACAGTAGTTGTTGCAACAGAAGATGGGCTAATTTTTAAATAATCCTGCACTGTCTTCTTCAACGACGCAACGTCCTGGCCCGGAACAACGCCCTATTTTAGGTTTTTCGTAGACGTAGCTCTGCACCTCGGAACCGACGGGAACAACTTCGTCTCGCTCGAGCTTGTGCAATCGCCTGCCTGTAAAGAAAAATTTTTCCAAACATGTTCCTGAAAATTTATTTTTTTTCTTACCACTTTCGTCTAGACACCCAATGCTAACCCTGGCACCACCGGGGGTTCTAGAGAGTAAATCCTTGTAGCATTTCGCCGTGAAAGGAGGACATTCTTCGTTGAAACACAACGCTGAATCACCAATTAGTAATTATACTAAATTAATTTAATATTACTTACTCTTGTAGGTTACAGTTTCTGAAGATGCTTGGATTGTCGCTACCAATAGTACAAGAAAAATTAATTTGGAAAGCATTTTTGTAAGAGTTTTAAATCTTGTCGAATGATATTGATAAGTGTGTGGTCGAAGCAATGCGTTATATACTTGTTGGGATACCTTGGAGTCGCTGTTAAAAATAAATGGGGTTTGGTTTCGGGTCATTTTGATAGCCTGAGTGACCTGCAGTGTTCTAAATAATCGTTTATTTGCAACAGTTTTTAATTAGTCTATTTTTTAAGAACTCTGAGCGTCAACATCTTATTTCGTTTGAATAGCAATTATCAGAAATTTATTTCGTTGTGCTTTAGTTTCTTTCCAATAAAATTGAGCTTTCATCGAATTTTTACCCTATTACAACGCTATAACGACAAAAACAACTGCTATGAGAATAAAACTTGTAAAGGGAAAAATCCGCACAACTGTGACACTTGATGAAGGGTTAGGAGCAGAGAACAATACCTTAACAAGCAGGCTTTTAGCAACAGATGACCATTTCCATATTGGCGACACGTAATGACCAGCAATGGGTTAAATCTAACCATGCGATATGGGAAAAAATTACCATTTATTATTAATTTTACTTCCCAAGCTGCTTGTATTGGATTTGGATTTCCAGTCTTCCAATTTTTCAGTTTCTTTAATTTTCAATATTTTGATTTTACAATACATATTTCTTTTTTTGATTTTTCACTTTTTCGAATTTTAAGTTTTTCAATTTTTAATCTTTTGATTTTTCAAATTTTCGTTTCTTCAAATTTTCATGTTTGATTTTCACTTTTGACATTTTCCAAGTTTTCATCATAAACTTTTTCGTTTTTTTATTTTTGATTTTTCAATTTAAGTTTCTTGACTTTTAAATTTTTCAGTTTTTCGATTTACAATTTTTTAAATTTTGCAATTTTTCTATATTGCAGTTTCTCATTTTTCGATGTTTCACATTCTCAGTTTTTAATTTTTGTCATTTTCAATTTTTCGTTTAATTTCCATTTTCTCGATTTTCAGGTCAATCGATTCCAATTCCTCGATTTTCCAGTTTTTAAATTTTTCAGTTTGCAGTTTTTGGGTTTGCACCCTTGTTTTACCTTTTGGATTTTCAATTTTTCGTTAAACTTTAGATTTCTCAAATTTTCGACAGTTTTATACTTCGATTTCTTAATTTTTTTTCAACTTTTTGATGTTTTTAATTTTTCTTTTTTAAAATTTTTCAATTTTTTTTATTTCTCGATTTATCGAATTCAGATGTTTGGATGTTTCGCTTCCTCAATTTCTCAATTTTTCTATTTCTCGATGTTTCAATTTTTGGATTTCTCGGTTTTTCGATTTTCCAATTTTTCGATGTTTCGATTTTTCAGTTTTTTTAAATTCTGGAATTTCGATTTGTCGATTTTTCAGATTTTTTTAATTTTCATTTTCTCTATTTTATGTCACAAATTTTAATTTTTTCAATTTCTTTAATTTTTGTTGTTTCTTTCGATTTTTCAATTTTTCGTTTCTTCAATTTTTCGAATTTTCAGTCTCTCAATTTTTCGTTTCCACAATTTTTCATGTTCCCAATTTTTATTTCTCTGTGTGGCGAATTTTTAATTTTTGTTTTCTCGATTTATATCACAATTGTCCGTTTCTACAGTTCCTTTATTTTCTGTGTTTTTTTTTGATTTTACAATTTTTCATTTGTTCAGTTTTTCAAATTTTCAGGCTTTGAATTTTCAGTTCGTCCATTTTTCAATTTTTAAATTTTTCACTTTGTAGTTTTTGGATTTCTAGTCTTCCGATTTTCCAATTTCTTTAATTTTAAATTTAAGATTTTTCAAGTTTTCATTTGTAATTTTTGGTTTTTATTTTTGATTTTTCCATTTTACAATTTCTCGACTTCCAAATTTTCAATTTTTCGTTCCTTCAATTTTTCGGTTTGCATCAGTTTTTCAATTTGGCAATTTTTCAATATTACAGATTTTCATTTTTCGATTTTTCAGTTTCTCATTTTTCATTTTTCCCTTTTCCAATTTTTTGTTTCCGATTTTTATTTTTCATTTTCCCGATTTTTTTATTTTCACTTTTTCGATTTTATATCACAATTTTCTTTTTTTATATTTCCTTTATTTTTTCTTGTTTCTTTTGATTTTTCAATTTTTCGTTTCTTCAACTTTTCGAATTCTCAGTTTCTCAATTTTTCATTTTTCCGTTTTCCAATTTTTTGTTTCCGGTTTTTATTTTTCATTTTCCCGATTTTTTTATTTTCACTTTTTCGATTTTATGTCAAATTTTCCTTTTTTTGATTTCCTTTATTTTTTCTTGTTTCTTTTGATTTTTCAATTTTTCGTTTCTTCAATTTTTCGAATTTTCAGTTTCTCAATTTTTCGTTTCCACAATTTTTCATGTTCCCGTCTTTTATTTTTCAGTGTGGCGAATTTTTAATTTTTATTTTTTCGATTTATATCACAATTGTCCGTTTCTTCAGTTCCTTTATTTTCTGTTTTTTTTTCGATTTTGCAATTTTTCATTTGTTTTTTCAATTTTTAAATTTTTCACTTTGCAGTTTTTGGATTTCCAGTTTTCCGATTTTCCAATTTCTTTAATTTTAAGTATTTCTATTAGATAATACATATTTCTTTTTTTTATTTTTCACTTTTTCTATTAAGATTTTTCAAGTTTTCATTGTGTAATTTCTCAATTTTTCAAGTTTTCATTTTGTAATTTCTCAATTTTTCATTTTTCCCTTTTCCAATTTTTTGTTTCCGATTTTTATTTTTCATTTTCCCGATTTTTTTATTTTCACTTTTTCGATTTTATATCACAATTTTTTTTTTGATTTCCTTTATTTTTTTTGTTTATTTTGATTTTTCAATTTTTCGTTTCCACAATTTTTCATGTTTTTTTTTTCATGTGAGTGAGTGAGTGAGTGAATGAGTGAGTGAGTGAATGAGTGAGTGAGTGAGTGAGTGAGTGAGTGAGTGAGTGATCAAGTGATTAATCACTAAACACTAATCACGAATCACGAATCACGAATCACGAATCACTAATCACTAATCACGACTCACGAATCACGAATCACAAATCACTAATCACGAATCACGAATCACGAATCACGAATCACGAATCACTAATCACTAATCACGAATCACGAATCACGAATCACGAATCACGAATCACAAATCACTAATCACTAATCGCGAATCGCTAATCACGAATCACGAATCACTAATCACGAATCACGAATCACGAATCACTAAATCACGAAATCACGAAATCACGAAATCACAATCAGTGGACAGTGATCAGAGATCAGTGATCAGTGATCAGTGATTAGTGATTAGTGATTTTATTTGTTTGGTGGTTTGCAATCTTGGGGTTTTTTCTTTCTGATTTTCCTTTCGGATTTTTTAATTTCTAAGTTTTGCAGTTTTATTTTTCAATGTTCCTATTTTTTCCGAATTTTGAAGTATTTTTTAATTTTTCGTGGTTTGGAATTTTGGAATTTTTCAACTTTTAGTTCTTCGATTTTTAATTTTTCAGTTTCTCGATTTAAATTTTTAATTTTTAAATAACAACCATTTATTTACGAAAGTGTTCATTACACAAATCAAACTAATTTTTATGTTTAGTATTCCGATTTTTAGTAGTTTGATTTTTAAGTTTTGATGTTTCAATTTTTCGTTTCTTCAATCTTACGATTTTTTCGAAATGTGTTAGATTGTTAAATTTTTTACTTTTTCAATCTTGCAGTTTTAAAATTTTTAAGTTTTTCATTTTTGATTATTAATTTTTTCGGTGTCTCAACTTTTCAATTTTTCGATTATTTAATTTTTCAGTTCCTCAAATTTTCGATTTTCCATTCTTCAATTTTTTAATTTTTAGTTATTTTATTTTTTGCTGGTTTGCAATCTTGCGGTTTTTCCTTTCCGAATTTTTAATTTCCAAGTTTTTCAATTTTTCTATTTCTATTTCCAAAATTCTTAAATTTTTAGATGCTTCATTATGCATTTTTTTAATTTTTCAGTGTTCCTATTTTTTCCGATTTCTTGTTACCGTTTTTTGTTGTCTTTTTAGCTCGCTTTTTGGCTACTTTTCTTGTGCCTTTGTTGTCCGTTTTTATCGGTCTTTTTCTATCGCATTTACTTAAGGATTGTCGCTTTTTTATTCGTTTCTTTGGAAGCGTTTTTTTTTGTCTTTTTTCTCGCCATTTTTGGTCGTTTGTTTTGTTCATTTCTTTGGTCGTTTTTGTGTGTTTTTGGATTTTTCGAATTACTGGATTTTTGGGTGTCTTAGATATTATGTATATTTTTTTTTTGTTTGACTTTCTTAACTTTTTAAATCTTTTTTAGAATTTTCTGCTTTGATTTTAGATTTTTAGAATTTTGATTTCGTTTTTTTGTTTTCTGGAATTACTAGTTCTCGGTTTTTTTGAGTTTTTTGGGTTATTTAGTTTATTGGATTTCTTGAATTTTTGTATTTTTTCGTTTTCTTTGGATTTTTTAATTTATAATATTCTTGAGTTTCTTATTGTATAAGAAACATTCACATACAATTTAAAGAAGCAGAATAAACAAGTTAGATCAAACATATTTTTCCACAACATCCTTCGTTACTTATTTTAGCGAATTCTAAAAAAAGTGCATATATTATACCATTTAACCCCACCTCTAAGTCTTCTGCTTGCCTTTTGCTATTCCGTCCGCATCCGTCGATTAAGGGTTTCTCGTTCAACCGGCGCACTCAGTCCGAGCCGGCTCTTTTTTCGCGCTGCACCGCATAAGGCTCGGCAATTAACCATCAGCATTCCCTTTTTTCAGCCGTTATTTCAGCTTCCCGTCCCATTGTCGGCGGCCTCTCCAAAGCCCCTCTTCTCAACGCCATTTCATGGTATCCATTATGCAAAATCGCCTTCTAAACCGAATTTGTTAGCGCCAATTAAGGCCGGCGATGCGCCGTAACGCGACAAATTGCCCATCATCGCGGCGGCACCGGCCCCATCAGCCCATATAAATCGTATTTCGTGGGCCGTTTTGGCGACATCCCGATACCGATCTGAGATCTTAATCTGGTCGCATCTCCATCGCCTTTATTGGTTTTATTCGGTCGGTGCCGCTACTTGCGGTTGTAAAGCGC